GGGGGTTGTTGTCTTTACGTATTCGACATGTAAACCAACTCAGAAATTAACTATGGACTCTCTTGTCAACCTTAACGGATGTTTATGAATTAATTTGTAGTTGCCACCTAACAAATCTTCTAATTTCCCTATGGTGTTATTTGTTAGAGAAAACAATGATGAAGAAATTTTAAATATAAAAAAGAAAATTAGCATACAACTTACTAGAGAAAAGATTCAACTTGAGTGTAATTTATCAAGACATATCTGTGTGCTTATAACCTTTAGGTAGGAGTCAGCTTAAAGTATTCAAATGCTCCAATTGGTTTCCTAACAAGAGCAAAGAAGTCGCTTGAACTGGAAGGACCTAGTGGACAGTCGCCAATACGTGGGGGGCAACTAAAAGATGTCTCGATGTCATCAAAATATGTGGACTAGAAAGTTGGGACCTCATCTCTATCATAACCTTCTGCTATTGACCCCTCTGCCATGCCTTATTCTTGACATAGGATTTTAATTTTCCTAAATATTTGCATGTTTAATTAATTAATAATTAATAATTGTCTATAATTGAGATTAAAATGTGGAAAATGGATGGAGATAATATAACACACCTTTCAATAGTGTACATCTACTGATATTGAATTGGGCGAGCAAGTTTTGCTTCTCGAACAAGATGGACTATAAGATGAACCGTGACAGTCAAGAAGGATAGAGGAAATATCATCTCCAAATGACAAGTGTCAAAATTATTTTACTTTGCAGTTGATTTGGCTCTTTGGGTATCAAAACCTTGGCACATAACATTTTGAAAAATGAACACAGCTCTACCAAAATTAGAGATATTAGGAGGGAGTATGTTTCTAAGTGCTAAAGGAAGTAATTGTTGCATGAAAACATGCGAGTCATGACTTTTCAACCCAGTAATCTTTTGAGCCTGCAGATCAATACAACTTGAGATGTTGCTGGAATATCCATCAGGGACTTTTATTTTCTTTAATGTTGACAATAAGATATCCTTATTCTGCTTTGTCAATATGAATTTAGTTGGTTAAAACCTGTAACTATCATTAGGCCAAGCATCTGGATGAATTACAAGGGCCTGTAAATCTTTCCTAGCAAAGGGGTGGTCGTTAGACTTTCCAAGTTTGTTGAGTAATGTGTATGGCACATTATCGCACACACTCTTTTCGATATGAATGACGTCAAGACAGTGATGGATCAAATTAAATTTCCAATAAAAGGGTGAAGAAGATATTTCTTTTTTACCACTGTATTGGCTGACCATCAAATGTGCCATGAGAACGTCATCCAGCTTGTTCAACTTCATCAATCTTGCCGAACTCAACATTAACACCCTCTTGCTGTTGAAATATATCCATTTCAAATAAAGGAAGAGGAGGATCTCTCTTTTCTTGTTTACTATTGAAGCAATTCCGTTGCAATCTAAATTTATGCTTCGAATCGAGGAACCGCTAGTAACCCATAAAGCACCATTTACAACTATGTGGAAGGCACACAGGTTCAGAGTTACTTGCACTCAGGACAAGCCAACCCCTTATGTATGTTCCAACTGGATAATGTTCCCAACCCGGGAAAATCACTAATTGTCCACATTAACACTGCGCGAAGGTTGAAAAGCTTTTTCTCATATGAGTCATAGGTTTCCATACCAGTAGTCATCCATAACTTGATCAATTCTTAAATCAATGGTTGTAGGTAGACGTCTATATCATTTGCAGGTGCTTTCTTGCCATAAATGATCATGGATAGCAAAAAAGAGCTCGTTTTTATACATATCCAAGGTGGAAGATTGTACAGAATTAACACCGCAGGACATATACTGTAACTAGTGCTCATGTTACCAAAGGGATTAAAACCATCAGTCGCTAATGGAAGTCAGACATTTCTAGGATCGGTAGCAAAATCTGGAAACTCTGAGTTGAATGCTTTCTATGCCTTAGAAATTCATGGATATCTTAACTTGCCCTCTAGATTCTTGTGAACATCATGCCACCACATATGCTCTACCATTTCTGATGACGTATATATTCTCTGCAGCCACGGCTTCAAAAGAAAGTACCTAAGAATTGAAATATGAAAATATATAGTAGTTTATTAAGAAAATAATTCTAAAAAAGCCAATGAAGCAAATATATTACTTTAGTAATAAAATAATTAAAAAAATAATAAAGCACAGATATTATTACCTCATTAACAATATAATTTGTAAAGAAAAATTAAAGCAATTATATTAATTTATTAATGACATAATTTGTAAAGAAAATTAAAGCAATTATTATTAGTTTAATAATGACATAATTTTTAAAAAATTTAAGCAAATATTAAAGCAACTAATACCTTAGAATCTTTGCAGGTTTCTTCTTCTGTTTTTTCCCCTTCCGTGTGGGATTGTACCTAGATGTCTTAGACTTTATACAAATCCCCCTGATGGCATGCTCTCCGCAATATAACATACAATCATTTGAGTAGGTATCAATTTTCATACAGTTCAAGCCAAGCTTGTTAATCATTTTCTTTGCTTCATAAAATGATGATGGGAAATCCACATGAGGGAATACATCTGTCAATAATTTCAGGAGCATTGACATTGCCTTGTCTGTGATACGGAATAAGCATTTTATATGATATAGCTTTACCAAGAATAATAACTTTGAGTACTTTGTACACCCATGATATAAAGGCTTGTCTGCATCATCCATGAGATCAAAAAAACTTTAAGCCACTTTGTTTCTTAAGAACTCTGACTTAGGTCCCTGTGCTTCTTCAGTTGATATATGTTCATGAATCCTAAATACGTCACTCACAGCGTCATTAATAGGGTCAGACTCCTCTGCTTCGACTCCTACTCAGGAAATTACAGGAGTTGACTGAGTAATCATATCGTGTTGTTCACCATGGAAAGACCAAAATGTATAATTTTGTGGGAAAGGCTTCAAAATTAAATGGTCTCTAACAATATCTTGTGGGTGCCACTTATTGAAATTGCATTTAGGACATGAACAAAGAAGTTTACCATTAGTAGTTGCATGCGTAGAAGCAAATTCTAAGAACAAGGTTAATCTGGGTAAATACCATTAGGACATACACGATAACTTGATCCATGACTTATCCATGATTTATGCAAGCAAGAGCAGGGAAAGATTTCAGAGAAAAGCTCAAAATGGAAGTGTAAACGGTATTTGGAACATTTAAGATAGTTAAAAGGGAATAAAGCAATGGTCGACAATCTGTAGCAGTTGATTAACCACTATAGAATGAAAAGCATCGCTAGTAATACCAAGAGTCAAAAATTTGTGGCGGTTAAATAACTACTACAAAATGATAAATTGCTGCTAATGCCAACGGTCAAATATTTGTAGCGGTTAAATAACCACTACAAACCGAGAGGGCAGCAAATTTCAAATTTCCAAACTTGTAGCGGTTTTATGAACCGCTACTAAGGGTGTGTTTGGTTGGAGGGGAGGGGAGGGAAAATGAGCCCCTCCCCTCATTTGGTTAGAAATTTTGGAGGGGAGGGAACCCAAAATCTCCCCTTCCCTCCCCTCCCTACCCCCTATTTTGGTTCCCTCCAAATTGGGGTTTTTTTGGAGGGAGGCCAAATATCCTGACTAATTTACCCTCATTAATTTTATAATATTCCATCAAATGTCCCTCTATGCAAAGTAAAGTCGACTAGATGCTTCGGTAGTGTTCTTTCGCTGCTCTCTCTTTTTCTGCTACTTTCACCGCCGGCTTGATTGTGGTCCAGAAAACATCACTGCTGCCTATCATCCTCACCATTTGTTTCCAGATCTGCGCCTTCATCATCTATTCTCTTCTTGTCCAGCAATTTCTTCCCGGTATATTTCTTCAATTGCATCTAGATTTGTTTGTTGTTGCTGTTTTTAATTTTTGGTCTAAAATACGATTACTGGTCTCTCGTTTGAATTTTCCTGCTTTCCATGATACATCTTCTTCTGCTACCTTCAATACTGACTAACTCCTTTATTTATGTATGATTAGATTAAGACAAAAAACTCTCAGTGATAAGGCGGTTAAATGAAAACGAAAGCTCACTGTAAAAGATAAGAATATTTAATTTTTTTCATGACTATTTTTATCTGGAAACTTTTATTTTTAGCTATATCTACTGCTATTTTCTCTTCCTAGTTTGACCCTGTTATTTTCGTTAGAAACTGTGCTGCAAGTCCTATTTTAGCAGAACACTGCTTCAAAATTAATCTCTATTACAATTTGCAATAATGGCTTACGGACACCATAAGGATGAGGTGGTTGCTTGTATTGGGATTTCTTAGCTTGAGTTTTCCATCGTTATTTCCTGTTCGTATAACTTCTCTAGTTAATTAGCTTGTTATTATTTTACAAAGTTAGGGAGCCTGGTATGATGATGGCAATATACTTTTTTAACGAGTTTAATTTGTGTGAATATAGTGATTCAAGCATAGTGATTCATCTTCATGACAAACAAGTCTTATTTGTCAGCAAGAAATCATTTTGTTGCCATGGATTGATATGAAGTATCAACAAGTCTTATTTGGGTTTAACTTCAAGCATAGTGATTCACCTTCATGACAATTTTTGCTGACCATATTTTTGCTTGTGGTTGGTGATTATAAATCATCATTAATCAAAATCATTGCATAAATAGCTAGGTCATGACTTTTTTTTTCCACCACAACTAGCTCATGACTTTATTATTTGTGGCTTTGCTCAGTTATTAATATGCACATTTTACTTATTTTGTTAGATGGACTTGGAAACTCAATACTACTTATTGGTGCGGCAATGGCTGGAATTGCGTCAAAAAATAATAGCTCTACTTGTATGTGTTAGTGCACAAGTATATGATAATGAAGTTTGTCCTCCACAAATAAGTTATAGTTTGAGTGGCAAGAGAGAAAGGGTACGTGATGAAATAATGAATAGAATAAGTAGTTGTCCATCAAGTCGAAACATCATTAGAATGTCTCCTAGAGCATTCTTAGAATTGTGTACTATGTTAGAAAGAGATGGTGGTTTGCAACCCACTAGGTGGTCTAGTGTGGAAGAACAAGTTGCAAAAACTCTTTATATATTAACACATAGTGCTAAAAATCATGAAGTCAATTTTTGGTTTAGGCGTTCTGGTGAGACAATTAGTCGTTATCTTCATACAGTTTTGATGGCTATCATTGAGTTAGAAGAAAAATTTGTTGTACAACCTAATGGGTCAACAATCCCCCTTGAAATTCAAAATGAGAGTAAGTTCTTCCCATATTTTAAGGATTGCCTTGGTGCTATAGATGGAACACATATACGAGTCAAGGTGCCTTCTGTCGATGCTCCTCGATATCGTGGTAGGAAGGAATTCCCAACACAGAATGTGTTAGCAGTATGTACATTTGACCTAAAGTTCACTTATGTGCTTCTTGGATGGGAAGGCACTGCATCTGACTCACGGATTATTAAAAATGCATTAGTAAGGGAAGATAGCCTTAAAATTCCTGAAGGTAAATGTTCTACTAATTTTGCTTAAGTTTACATTCATTAGGGATTATAAAACCAATACAGTAATTATCTTTTATTATGATAGGTAAATATTATCTTGTGGATGCTGGATTCATGTTAACAAGAGGACTTTTAACACCTTATCGGGGAGTTCGTTATCATTTGAAAGAGTATTCAAAAAGAAATCCACCCCTAAATCATAAGGAGTTATTTAACCTTCGACATGCAAAGTTACAGAATGCAACTGAAAGAGCTTTTGGTGTTTTGAAGAAAAGATTTACAATTTTGTCGAATGCAACTGAACCTACATATGGCATCAAAGTTCAAAAAATGATAATATATGCCTATGTAATTCTTCATAACTTCCTTATGAGTGCTGACCCTACTGAAGATCTTATAAGAGAAGTTGATAGGGAACTTCTTCAATAGAATGCAGCAAATGACAATAACCGTGCTTCAAGTAGTGACAATAATGAGGCTGCTCGAGGTGAACTTATCAGAGAAAATATAGCCACTCTGATGTAGAGCCGGGAAAACAGGCCGAGCCCGTCGGGCCGGTCCTTTTAGGCCCTAAAATTATGAGGGCCGGGCTTGATATTTTTCTCTTAAAATGAAACATAAGCCCTGGAGGGCTGGCCCTGGAGGGCCGAGGGTTTAAAAGGGCCGGCCCTGGAGGGCCACGGGCTGGCCCTTTTAAGCCCTTTTATATTTTTTTTATTTTTTAAATTTTTTTATATAATATTAATGTTATTAATTTTTTACATTGTTAATAATATTTCAAATATTTAGTTATTATTATCATTTTAAAAGTAAATTTAGTTTTAGATAATAATTTATCCAATTAAATTTTTAAAAAATGGGTTAATTTGGACTTTAATAATGATTTGATTTATATTATATGCGTTGATATTTTTAAACTATATATATATTTGATAATAGAATATTTTTATACTTATATAACTTGTGATTCTATAATTTGAATTAGAAATTCATGAGTTTCAACAGCAATGTTTCTCACATTAAAGTAAAATAATAGTTAGATTGTAAAATTTAAAAATAAAATTCTTATAAAGAAGAAAAACTTGATATTTTTGTTATGAAAGAAAAGTATACTTATGAAAAAAAGTAATTAATTATAGTGATGATGAAGTTTCAAAAGATTAATAATAGTGTTTATTTATTGCACAATTGCATTATAGATAAAACTTTTAGATGTTGTTATCTTGTTAATGAATGTTTTAGATGTTCTTAGATGTTGATGAATATTTATATATGATGATATTTTATATGTGACTTAATTTTATTCATATTTATGTTTTTTATTAATAATTTCATTGATTTATTTTTATAAAAAATATGATAAATATAAAAAATAGTATTTTTTCTTAAACGGGCCAAAAGCCCGCGGGCCGGCTCTGGCCCTGTAGCTTAAGGGCCGGGCCTAGCAAATTGGGATATTTTTAAAATTCCAGCCCTGGAGGGCCGGCCCTTTTAAGCCCGCCAGCCCTGAAGGGCCGGCCTTGGAGGGCCGGGCCGGCCCTGATTCCCGGCTCTACTCTGATGTGGGCAGATTACCAGAGTAATCCTGAGCATGGTTTTGGTGATGATCTTGGGGATGACCTTGAGGATTAGAGTTTGATTTTCTTAGTAAAAGTTTGACTTTGTTGTTTAATGTGCATTGCTACAGTCAAATTCAGTTTATTGTATTACTTGTTTAGTTTAGACTTAGAATTCCAATTTAAGACATTCAGTTTGTTGTATTACTTGTTTAGTGTAAACTTTGAATTCCAATTTAAGACATTCAATTTGTTGTATTACTTGTTTATTTTAGACTTTTAATTCCAATTTAAGACATTCAGTTTGTTGTATTATGTGCTTATGTTTTTATGTTATAGGATGGCACCAAACAATAGTAAGGAGACACTAAACTGGACAAGACATATGGATGATGCCCTCATTGATGCTTTTATGATTGAATATAATGAGGGCCGCAAAGTTAATGGCACTTTTACATCTACTGCTTATGATAATATTGTCAGATATTTAAGTGCTTTGTTTGGTAAGCAAATTGACAAGGACAAGGTCAAAAACCGATGGAAGACTTTAAAGAGAAATTTTTCAGATGTTTATGATATTTTTAAAAGTTTGAGTGGGTTTACTTGGAACCCAACAACTCATTTGTGGGATGCTGAGCCAGAAGTTTGGGATACACTGATTGAGGTATAAGTGTTATATATATGTTGTCTTTTTTTATTTAATTTCTAACTTTGTAGGCTGTTGGTACTATTATTATTGCTGCTGGTATACGTGCAGATATACATGTTGCTTATTGGGACAATACTCTTCTAGTTTCATATATATATAATATTAATATGCACAATTCATCTCCATGCTAATATTTTTTATGTCCTGTATTTTTTAGGCTAAACCTAAGGCAGCACAGTGGAGAAACAATCCTTTTCCAAATTATGAGAAGATGCTAATACTATATGGGGTGGATAGAGCTAGTGGAGATGAGGGGGAGACAATGCGTGAATGGAGGAAGAGACGTCGTTCTCAGGAAGAGGTCACTAGAACTGTTAAAGATATTGATAACCTTGTTTCACAAGGTAGATGTTCATTACAAAATGATGATGATTTTGTTGAGTTAGATGGACAAAATAACTCACCTAGACAAGGATTATCACCTGAAGAAGATAATTCTCCTATTGCTAATAGTGCTTGTAGTAAGAGGACAAAAGGAGTATCCAAAGAGCATGAAAATAATTTAAAGGAACTAACTGGGGCAATATGTCGAGTGGCTGATGCACTAGATAGAGGAGCTGAGGCAATACTACAAGGAAATATAGCTATAACAAAAGTTGCCACTACAAAGATGCAAGTGCCACAGCTGTTCGGTGAAGAACTTTGCAAAATGCTTGAAGAATGTGGGATTGAGACAGAAAAAATACCTGACATATATTGGTTCCTTATGACTGATGTTGATAAGCTTAGAACAACTGTTCAATGTCCACTTGCAATAAGGAAGCAAGTGATAATGAAGATGTTTTATGGTTCTTCTTAAATAGTTGTTATGATGTCTGGGTACTGATGTTTTTTTGTATTATGATGACTTGATTATGATGACTTTTGATATAAGCCCAATGTAATGTCTAGGTACTGATGCTTTTTGTATATTTTGGTAGGTGCTAACAATTTCAGCTTTTTAGTAGTAGAGATGACTTGATTTGCACTATCAGGGGCATGCTGTGTTGAAAGTTTTTGTATTGTTAGCAAAATAGTATAAACTATGATGAAGACATATTTCTTTATGAAGAGTTTTATTATCAAGAGTTTTATTTATTTGCATGATAGGTTTGAAGTTGTAAGTATTTGTAGTTCTAATTTTATAATCTTTGGATTATGTTTGTGCAACATCTTCCATCAATTAAAGCATTTTACTGTAAAAAAAAAAAATAGCAATCTATTCAATACTATGAGAAATTTGTTAATTACATATTAACAGCAATCATGTAAATAAATTAAATTAAATTATGAGGCTAACTTTTTTAAATTAAACAAATAAATTAAATTATGAGGCTAACTTTTTTAAATTAAACAAATAGTATGGGTATCAATTTTAAATGAAAAATTTAACAATTTTATTGACATTACCCACAAGATAATAATCCAACTAATAAGTAACTTTCTAAATATAGAATTATTAATTTGATTTTTTAGCATATATTATTTCATTACAGATTATTTAAATTAATTTATAAAAAAATAATATAAATCAAAATATAAGGGTAAAATGGTAAATTGATTATTATCATCCCTCCCCTCCCCTTCTTGAACCAAACAAGGGATCATTACATATCCCTCCCTCCCCTCCTATTTAATCAAACCAAACAAGGTGAGGTTAAAACCTCCCCTCCCCTCCCCTTCCTCCCTTCCCTTCCCCTCCCCTCAAACCAAACAGGCCCTAAATGATGATGTGAAATTCAACATTTGTAGCGGCTTTGTCATTATGTAGAAGTTGAGGAAACTGCTACAAATTTTAGAACTGGAGAGAAATTTCATTTGAAATTCAATATTTGTAGCGATTTTATAACCATTACAAATTATAAATGCCACTAAATAGTATTTTATTTATCCAATATAAATATTCTTTTTTGAAAACTTAATAATTTCTATTTTAATAAATTAGAATTGAATTATATATTATTTTAATTTTACTATATTGTTTTTATTAATTTCAATTTCAAATTTAATAGTTGCGTTTTAATTTAATTAATAAATTTAATTCATGTTTAATTTTATTGAATAACTTGTAAATAATAAAAAAAAATGCTAATACTAATTAAACTATTGTCGTCCTGGGTACTCGAGTCTGGCTAAGGCTGCCCTGAGTGAGGTGGTGGGGTCCGCAGCTGACCCTTGAGACTGTCAAAACTCTGCGGCACTTGAGTCATCTTCTCCTGCCAAAACAATTTAATCAATTTAATATTTAAACATTAAATTAAATGAAATTAACATAATATTAACAATAAAAATGTGAACATTAAATTGAAACACTAAATAAACAATAAAATTGTAATTAAATACTAATAGCAATTTTCTCAACCCGCTTAGATATAGGAGTGCTATCCTTATGCCTGTGGAGCTATGGCAACATCTCACTATAGGTGGGCATTCGTCCCTCCTCCTGCTACATCTTCCACCCCTGCCAATTTATAATAAAACGAAAAAGCATTTTTATTATTTAAATTCACATATATATGTACACATACAATATAATTTGATTAAATTTGTAGTATTACTCACAATCTCATTATAGGTAAATATCTTTAAACTGACCGTATGTTAGATATCGTGATGGCTGCAACTCACAATGTTTTTCTGAGAAAGATGCTGCAATAAAAATATAACAAATTTAGTTAACTTGTATGGCAATAACATAACAATAATGTAATAAATTACATTCATACCCTCTGCTTAGGTGTCACCTTAAGCTGGACAAATGATGCCCAGTCGTTGGTAGGGATGCCATCTGGCACGTCTGCCTACATCTCCTCTAGGAGCCTTGCCTTGTCTTCTTTCTCTGCATTGTACAGGTGGCCCCTCCTGTTCTTCCAACCCTCCCCTAACTTTTTCACATCATATGTCTTCATGTTATCCCTATCAATGAATTTTTTCCGTAATTAAATAATCAAATTATGATTTAATTACTAAGAAATCAAACTCATAATGTAACTCATAATTATTTTAAGGAAAATTTTTAATCCTAAATTTCAAATACTAATTAATTATCTTCAATAGCTCCTAGACGTCATTCTTGTTCTTTCGTGACATCCTCTTCTAGTTTGGCTTGTAGATAGAAAACAACATGTACTGTCTACCTAGATAAGCCAGATACTGGTAGAACAGATGTCCTCCCAACTCAATTG